TTTTTATAATGCGCTCCTCCCCTTGCATATGTAGGTGCTGTGTCTCCGTCTCTGTCTCCTTCTTTGTCTCTATACACTCTGTCTGTCCCCTTTCTCTATCTGTCTCCTTTCTCTATCTGTCTCCTTTCTCTATCTGTCTTCTTTATCTGTCTCCTCTCTCTATCTGTCTCCTTTCTTTATCCGTCTCCCTTTTTTGTCTCCCTTCTCTATCTGTCTCCTTTATCGATATCTAACTGTCTCCTTTATCTCTATCTCTATCTGTCTCCCTTCCCTCTCCCTCTCTCTCCGTCTCTACCTGTCTCCTTTCTCTCTCTCTCTATCTCCATCTCTATCTGTCTCCTTTCTCTCTCTTTCTCTCTATATCTATCTGTCTCCTTTCTCTTTTTCTTTATGTTTTATCTGTGTATACACCCCACCTAGAGAAAAATCAGTATTAAGGTATTTACAAACATCCCGCCACTGTCTCCTTTTATATTTAACTGTCTCCATTTCTTTTGTTAGTCTCCATACCGCACGAAGTGTCTCCGCAGAAACAAGACCCTCATCGTCCCCTGCTGCTGCTGCTGCTGCTGCTGCTGCTGCTGCTGTTGCTGCTGTTGCTGGTGATGATGCTGCTGCTGATGATGATACTGGTGGTGATGCTGCTGCTGCTGCTGCTGGTGCTGCTGCTGCTGTCGATACTCCACTTGCTGCTGCACTTTGTGTTGTTGCAGTTGCTGCCGTTGCTGTTGTTCCCGCAGCAACAGCAGCAGCAGCAGGAGCAGCAGCAGCAGCAGGAGCAGCAGCAGCAGTTGCTGCTGCTGCTGCTGCTTGTGTTTTTTTAACAAAAAGAAGAGAAGTAATTTGTCTCTCTGCCCCAAAGTGGCGCTCAAGTGTCTCCGTTCGTCTCCTCAGGGGGGAGGAGACAGGCAGCAGCAGAGACGATCCCGACAGCAGCTGCATCTGCAGCACAGACAAACCACCACCCCACCCATCCTCTCCTTCTTCTCCTTCTATACCACCATCCACATATATCATACCCTTCCTGCTGCTGCTCTTGCTGCTGCTGCTGCTGCTGCTGCTGTCTTTGTTGCTGCTGCTGCTGGGAGTTGACAGACTCCTCAGGGGCCCCCAGGGCCCCTGAGAGGTGGGGGGCCCCCCGGGCCCCTGAGAGGGGGGGGCCCCCCAGTGCCCCTGAGAGTGGGGGGCCCCCCAGGGCCCCTGAGACTGGGGGGCCCCCCAGGGCCCCTGAGAGGGGGGGGCCCCCAGGGCCCCCCAGTCTCTCTCCCCCCCAGTAAGGCGTGGGGGTACGTCTGCTATGAAGGTAATATAGAGAGAGAGCAGCAGCAGCAGCAGCAGAGAAGAGCCGAGAAGAAGAGACAGTTGGATAAAGAAGAGAGGAGACAGTGCCATTCGTTTGATGCATTTGTTGCTGTTGCGGCGGAGACAGGATAAAAAGAAAGAAGAAGGATAAGAGAGAGAACGCAGAGGAGAATGTCTCTTTATAAAATATATAAACTTTTTGTATACTGCTGCTGCTGCTGCTGAGACACACGCACAACAACGACAGCAGCAACACAACGAGCCCCAGCACGATGCTCCTCCTCCCCCTTCCTCTAACTCATCTGCATGCGGAGCAGCAGCAGCAGCAGCAGCAGCAGCTGCTGCTGCTGCTGCTGTTGCTGCTGTTGCTGCTGGTGGGGCTGCAGCAGCAGGAGATCCTAGGGGGTCCAGAGTGCGTGGGTGCCATTGCCCTGTCGGCACGAACCCAGCTGTTGCTGCAGTTGGTGTCGCTGCTGCTGCTGCTGGTTGCTGTGTGGGGGGCGGGGATGCACAGAGAGGCTCAGATGCTGCTGCTGTGA